AAAACAGGAGTGCTAAACACCCAAACTTGTGATGTCATAGGGTATAAAGTCTGGAGCTGTTCTGACAGTATCATATGTAAGATATTACATATGATACTGATTTTTTTGTTTCACACTTTGATAAAATGAAGCTCATTTGAGTATAAAAAAGAAAACAAACACTGTGTGGGTCCATAAAATCAGCCTCCCATTCATTGTCTGTGGAGCAGCTCTAGTCTTTACACCCTATGACATCACAAGTTTGAGACTTACTTCTCTGGTTTCTGGCTTTGAGATAGAGCAGCTCATGTTCACAAATATTGATTGAACTTTCCTCAACTATGGAAATTACATATTGGAATTCTTAGTTTAGGTGGTGTTCCCCTTTAAGGGCCCTGGAACACCAAGCTGACAGCCGTTGGTCAATATTGGGCTGTTGGTTAGCGTCTGTCGCCCCAGTTTTTGCGGTGTGTGGCACACTGTTGGCACTGGTTGGTCCATGTCAGCACATAGTTTAATACCATGATGTGGGTTTTTACAGTTTATATTAAGACACATCAAAGGCCTACCAACAGAAGCCTCAGGGTTTTTTTTCTCTCTCTGGCCACTGTCAGGCCTCAAATCACAAATCTGATGACGTTAGACTCAACTTGGACACCTGTGACTCATGACTTCACTTGGACTTGAGCCTTTTGACTTGAAAATACTTGATACCTTCCCTCAAGCCCAAAGATTAAAAGGTTGTTAAAAGTGTGCCTGAATCAACTAACACTAACACTAACACTATTCATTCCCTGCAGGTTGACTCTTAGTTCCCCAACAAAGATGCAAGACGGTTACGTTACTGAGCGCCAGTTGGAAAAAATGATGGCAAAGATAATTTCGTTCTTGTACGAAAACTATGCGGTAGTCAACAAAAACTGAATTGCAGTATGCAAAATGTGTGGATCAAAAATTACTGACAGAGATGCAACAACTTCCAAGAAACTTGTTTTAAGAAATAAATACAAATTTTAAAAAGCATTCATGACTACTGTAAATTTTATCTTATTTTGCTGTTGTTAAACTGGCATGATATTGAGGAAAATGCACATTATGACTTGTTTGGGGATCAAAAGTCTAAGTTTATGAATTGGGACTTGAGTGGAAAGACTTGAGACTTACTTGTGACTTGCAAAACAATGCCTTGGGCCCACCTCTGACGGGACTCGGTGATATTGCCAGGTGAACAATATGTTGGGATGTATTCAGAGGCGAAAATCCAATTTCAGTGTCGGTGGAGGAAATCAAGAAGGGTTATGTCTTTTACTTTTTTTTGTTTGTTTTGGTGGAGAAGGTTGTAAAGCACACACCAAAATTCTCTTTTAGCCAGAAAAGGCTGATAATTATTTGTGGCTAGGGCATGCTAAATATGCTCAGGGAACACAAACTACTGCCACCTGCTGGTGTAGAGAGTTACTCCCTCTCATGCAGGCACAGAACATACATGCTAGTTGGCTATTGGCTGTGGTCTTTGCGGTGTGTTCAAGCACAACCTTCTGGCCAAGACATATAATAGGTGACATGAGGCGACGCAACAGTCAGCCTTTATTACCACCAGTTTTTTGATGTCAGTTTGGTGTGTCTGGGTCTTAAGTGTCTTAGTTATGGTGGGACAGCAAACAGTTATGTGTATGTGTTCATACGGCCCAGGGACTGGAGAAAATGCGCAGAAAGAAGTGATTATATTGGCAGCGTTCCAAACTGTAAACAGTCAATGTAAGCATGTTTCATTTTGCTGCTTCGATCAGTGGAACAAGATGGCAAGTGTGAACTTAAATTACATTCTGACTTTATATAACAAAGGAACTACTGTTCAACAAAGGGGACCTGTAAGTTTGAGGAGTCTACGCTGGTTGCCTGGCAACTTGTCCCAGTGCACAACTCACTGTAAAACAGCAAATTCTTGTTTTTACAGTTTTGTTTTTGTACATATTAAACAAAATGTTATGCATTCATTAGTGAGCTTTAGGTGGGCTAGTAAGTGGATTTTGTTTCCTTTAGATAGAGCTAGGCTCGCTGGTTTCCCCGTCTCCAGTCTTTTTGCTAAGTTGAACTAACCAGCCGCAGGTTGCTGCTACGTTTCGCCTACAGACGTGGAAAAAAAAAAGATCAAATTCTCTCATCTAACTCTCGACAGTAAAGCAGTCATATGTCCATGTCTCTTTGATTTTTTTCTATTTTTTTTGATAGTAAGTCTTCCAAAAATCCCTTCAGCAAAACGAAAAATGTACAATGTCGTACAGTCCCTTACCTCCAGACTGTGGGACAGAGAGCACTGCATGACTTCTGACAGACAGAGGGCTCGTCAGATGCACTCGCCCTGGCATCTCTGCGTACACATTTTCCTCAGTGACTTTGGGCAATAAGCTTGTGCTCCTTTGCACAAAAATATTCCTGTGTTCCATGGTGCTGCCTGTCTGATCTACCTATCTGACCTCACAGGCTGCCCTACATCCAAAGACCTACTTAACAATGATAAACTTGGGAGGCCGACAGATGCATTGAGGACAGTATAACCGGGATGCATTTCACAGCTCCAGCTTCAGTTTCAGCCAACATTCACACCTTTGGGTAACTGTAATGGTAATAAGCTCCCTGTGCATCCCTCTATATAATGATTGAGATTACACTGTTTGTTTATGCAGCAGACTAAATCAAGTATCACTTTAACATATAACAGTGTTGATTTAGTTTGAACTTCATGTATTGCTGTGTTTCTCTGACCTTAGTAAGAAGCTGAAATACTGTGTGTGGTTCATGATGAATGGCCTTGATATATGAATTAGCAGTGTCAACATATTTAGCCAAAGATTTGCTGAGACTGTGTTTTCCCCTGATGCGGTAATAAAGATGCACTGATTCACACCTGGGGGCTGCAAGCACAATCACACACACAGCCTGTAAGTACTGAGCAGAGGCACAGTGGGAAATTAACCACCTTAATCTTTAACAACAGCAGAAGCAGTACATCCCTGCTATCACATATTCTCCATGAAAACATCAAAATATTTATTTGAAGAATGAGACATGATACATCAAATTCCTGTGACCACGTGCTTCCTGCTTTTTTTCTTAGCAACACATGTTGTTCTGCAGCACCACCCTGGCCTTTGACCTTTCTGTGAACAGGCAAGAAACAACAATTAAATGTGCAAGCTCCCTATAGGTTTCATTGATCCAATATTTAGTCTTCACAAGGCAAAGCATGTTTTTTTTTTTTTTTTTATCTCCGATACTGTCCCATACCCAACTGGAATGTGCATACAATCCGCCTGTCCTGTAAAATACTGGCTATTTGTATGTACTCCCAGCAACACAGATTCAGATTTCTTCAGGTACTTTGATCATAAATTAATTGCTGTTTTGATCATTTCAAATAAGACATTTCACTGCACTTTAAACTTCCTTCCTGATGCTTAAACAGCACTTTGCAAAACATCAGCTTGAGGTCCATGTGCTATCCACTCTGCAACTTTTGAAAACACCACACAGTCTTCAGCAGCAGTTGGAGTTTAGCTGGAGAGGATGAAGAGCGATGCAGAACTGGTCTGTTTTCTGTTGGACAGGTAGGTGCTGGTGGTAAGCTTAGTTAGCTTGCTAAAGTATTGGGTTTTCTATTACCACAAATGTAGTTTTGCATAGGCAGACATTTCCACAGCGCTGTCAATACTAGAGAAAGGTCTGAAAGCACCATTATCATTCTGGTATAGCGGGGAAAAACTCTTTGGGTTGTTTGTATTTCTCCAAACCAATCACAATCGTCTAGGGCAGTGCTAAACCCAGGGCGGTACCCTTGTAAAACGGTAGCACACAGACAGTGAAAGGGAAGAACAATACCAGCTGAAATGACCAGCCTATGGCAGCCTAATAGACTGTTTCAAACTTGACAATATAGAGGCTGATTCCAAATGTTCCAACCAGTCCTCAAGGGGCCTAAAGCGAACTTTCTGCAGACTTCCAGAAAGTCTGCTTGGGGTGCAGACTTCACTGATTTACATAGCCCCCAATTCATTGCAATATGGACATGAAGTTGTACTTTTTTTCCCACTTGCCAACCAAAAAAATAAAAACTTGTGTATGTAAAACAGTTACTCTAGCCTATTAAAACTCGATTTGAATTGTAAGCCAGAAATAATATTCAACATCCTGATACAGAAATATGTCGAAATAAAGGCTACAGAGGGAAATCAAAAGGCTTTGCATTATTGCAGCCTACCTTATAGGTTGCACAGTGTAATGCCAAATATATAGGCTCGAAACATGTTCGAAAAACAACAAAAGATCTACCCAGTTTATTTAGTCATAGCTCAGCCCTTATTTATTTATACCTGCAGTCTACACGTTATACAGAAATTTATTTTGTTCACCCGCAAAACAACCCTACAGACGGGATTCATATCTTATTATCTGCAGGGACAGATGAGCAGACCGCATATGACAGCAGTGATCATGGTGTACATGACTGTGACTGTTGCTCTAATGTTTCTACGGCAATGAGTGAAACAGACTTGAGGCCTGTCTATCAGCAGCTTGCAGACTTTATGTGATGACAGTGAACTCGTCACGGTATGTACGGCTGAAGTCCACGAGGGCTCAGAATAGCAATGAAACTGTCTACACCCCCAGTCTACATCCGGTGAGTCAGACTACAACAAATGTAACGGTCCTACAATAGTGGCTTGCAGTGTACGTACAAGCGGTGTAGGAAGGAGTAGCAAAGTTCCAATGCTGTGTTTACAAACAGTAGCTGACAATCCCTGCATCGTATACCTTTAAGCTAACATGGATGAGAAGTCCTTAATAACTACAACTCCATGATAACCTCGCAAAATTGGTCATTTGACATGATCAAAACCCAGAAATGCCACGACATGGACCTGGAGGTGAGGTGTTGTCCTACATTGTGTTGGGATTAAAAAGACACAGCAATAATCTGAATCAGAGTCCTACAATAAAAGAAAAGAAGAAAAGGCACCAGGTATGAAAAAGATAGATTTATTTAATGACAAATTAAAACAGAAAAAAAGTCAAGGAGTTGAGGGAGAGCAGCAACATTACTGAGACTCCACATGAAGAGGAAGGGAGAGATGATTGGCTTGACCTCCCTCCCTCCTCACAGACAAAAAGAAAAAGAAAAAGAAAAAGACTTACCACACAAACAAGGGGACGGAGAGACAAATAGATGAGGAAAAACAATTCAACTCGAGGGTGGGGGGGTCGGGGGGGGTGGGGGTGAGGGTGGTGGAAACAAACCTTCAGAAGAACGACACAACTTGCTTTTTAACTACAAACACTGAAGTTTAGCCACAAGTTTTACAACTGCCTTTTAATTTTTGTTTTTAAAAGTCATTACAAAAAATGATAATTATGATAATCTCCATTTAATAATAACAATAGCAACATTGTAACGGTAGAAACTGTCCCTCATTCCTGGTTGGGTGATCAGTCAATCAGTGGTTGAGGCTGACACTGGCAGACAGAGCGACATGGAGGCAGAGAAGAATTCAAAGAAGAGCGGAGAGAGAAGGGAGAAAGTGAGCAGAATTTTTGCCACATGTCCATCTCGTACACACACACATATACACACACATACACACACACACACACACACACACATCAGGAGTTCTTTGCTCCTCTCATACAAAAAAAAGACAACTAAAATAATTAAAAAGAAACAGACTTATAAAATAAACCCCAAAAGAAAACTGTGACTCAACTGAAATGCAGTGTTTTTTTTTCTTCCTCGTTCTGAAAAACAACAAAAAGACCCCTCTAATCCTCGGTCAAAGATGCTCCGACACGCACTCAACTCATTCGCTAGTACACCTGCACACATGGCCTGTAATGCAAGGAACAGGTGTGTGTTTTGTGTGTGTGAGAACTCCACTGTGGTGTCCATTCCATGAAAATAATAATAATAAAAAAAATCCAGGGCTGATGTAGCTGAGGGCCTTCTTAAATCCATACAGTATGAGAGCAGAGTCTGTTCTAAGAACTATCAACAACGACAGTCAACTATTTAAAGAGTGTCCAATGCACAATCTTTAGCTTCGGGTTGACCAGATGTGGGCCGGAAGGAAACCAGATGAGCCTGATGTTGTGTAGACCGACTGCTGTCTTGGACATAACTTGATGTCAATGGTTATGGGTGCTACAGCCGTCCATGTCTGTGGGCGGCGGTTCCAGTCCCAGCCATCGATAGCAAAGTCAGTCACAGGTGAAGCTAAATACCCAAATCTGCGACACAGAACTTCATGAGCTTTGGGTTCCACTCTGAGCTAGCTAATACATGAAGACGCCCGCTGAGGTGAAAGCCAGCCACGGTTGGAGCCCTACGAGTGTCGGTAGCGTGTGAACCGTTCAATCCAGGAGGTCTGAGTGGTACTGAGGTGGAATACAAACAGCAGGGAATCGGGGGGTTGGGGGTGGGTGGGGCTAGATAGCTGACTAGCACTGACCGGGAGTCCATATTGAAATATAGCTTGAGCCCTCCTCAGTGTGTGGCTGTCAGGGCGCAGGGCTGCTCAGTGATGACTGGCCTCCAGCGTCTCTGGGTGAAGGTCGCAGAGCTGTAGTGTCTGAAATGTCTGAGGATGACGGAGGGGAAGAGAAGAAAGAGAGACACTAAAATAAGAGCGGTGGGAAAAATCACTTGATGAGACGGGAGTTTGACAAGCGAGTTTGACTGAACAGCTTTTCAGTTTATGTCCTTGTTTTATGACCAAGAGAGGGCGAGACTGCATGTGCGTGCAAGAGTCTCACATATGTTTGTGTGTTTGTTAAGAAGTCTATAGCCATCACTACACAGTCATGTCCTTGTTTTATTCATCCATCCATCCATTCATCCATCCCACCCCCTGGGCCTCCGCGGCTGCCTGATCAGACAGTCCAGTTCCACGTCTCAAGGGGTGAGGCAGAAAGGGGGTTAGCGCTGTGAGGTCACAACCGATTTGACCCCCTTAAAAAATGCCCCCTGACAATCTGTAACTTTTTGACCCTCTTCTCTTCAAAGTTCTTAGCACATGGAGATGGTGACGTTGATGCCCAAGTTGCCGTTCTCCGCAAACAGCTGTGCGATGGACGTGTCGAACACTAGGCAGTCGCTGTTCATGATGGCCGTGGCGATGCCCTCGTGGATGGAGCGCGGCGTGGCCTCCCAGGTGAGGCGGCGCCGGTGCCCGTTGAGCTCCAGCCGGTAGGCGAAGTTCTCGGCCTGCTTGCGGGTCCCGATGAGCTGCACGATGGCGAAGAACTGCTGGTGGCCGTCATACTTCTCCTGCTTCTCCAGCACCAGCATGAAGTGGAAGCCGAAGCAGGACTGCATCATTACCCAGTCCACCGCGCCCGGGAGGTTGATGTCTGTGGCCAGGAACACGATGTCCTCCCCCTGGACAGAGACACACACAAACAGGTCAAACAGGTTTAGTCATCATCTCACAAGGATACATATGAGAAGGCTCTAAACTTGAGAACTAAAACCCTAAAAGTGTGATGGTTTTGATGACGTGTTATGCGATTCACCACCGAGAGATTTAAAAAGCACCTAGCAGTTAGCAGCTAACTCAAAGACGACGAACAGCAACCGAAATGTCCGCAAATTGGGAAAACACGGAGGTCCGAGAGCTCCATATAACGGGGACATTAATCACTGTTATTGCTGTGTAATGCCATTGTTATTGTTTAGAAACTGTTGCCCGATGCTGTTGTGTTACAAGTCACACTTCTTTTGTTTTCAGAAAGCCAGCATGCTTCCTAATATCAAACACTGGGGCGGCATTATGGCACAGTTGTCTGGTTCTGTATAAAAAAGTAGAAGTGGTGTTATGAGAGGACTTTAAAGTCGCAGTATTGTGAGATCTCTATGCAAATATGGTTATTGATATGTAAATGAGTAGAGTGGCCCTTTAATTTGAATTTTAATCACACTGTTTTTTCTTGGCAGGAAATGCTAAATTAAAATAAAGTAAAGCACAGTAATGTTTTGCACACTAATGAAATTTGGAAATTTTAAACAAAGGTAGAAGTATTTTGTGGTGTCTGAGTTTGGACGTATTGAAAAGACAACCAAAAAACCATTTGCTAAAATCGGTACAAAACATCCATAATTATATGTGATAAACTGTAGTTTTTAGAGAAATGTGGTCAGTCTCTATGACTAACAGGATACCACAAACAACAGAATGCATTTCCCATTATGGTAGGGTGGATGGAAAGGTACAGAATAACAGCTGATATTCCACATACACATATATATGCCAGCCATGTTTCTAACCACCCCCAGGACCTGATGTGTCATTCATGGTGCTGTAAAACCTACTTCACCCTAAACACAAATGCGGACAAATAGAGATGTTACCTGTGTCCCAAAAGACTCATCTTTTGCTTCGACAGATGTCACCTAACACCCTTACTGAGCCTAACTTATATAAGAAACAGAGAAGACGAGTCAGTGTCTGACCTGCAGTGTGGTGATGGACTTGTGCTGGTGCATCAGGTGAGGCATGACAGCATCCAGGGAGCCCTGCCACTTGCAGGAGGCGCCAGGGCAGGGGCAGGAGTACGGCCGAAACTCGCACAGCTCTTCGTGCTCCGTCTTGTCAGTGTGAGGCAGCGTGACTTCGCAGCCCGATGAGGCGTACTTGCAGGGGAAGAGGACAGAGTTAGCCACCTTCTCCATGGCCAGGTTCCTGATGGAGCCCAGAGGGCCTCGGCAGGTGGGGCAGCAGGTGAGCTTGGGCCGGCAGTTGGAACATACCTGGGAAAGGACACATAAAACAAGTTAAGGAACAAGTTAGGGTTTTCCTCCGCAAGATGTTCTTCTCTTAGAGGAATGGAAGAGGATTCTGAAATGTCATCAGGGGCCCAAGCACCCAAGATTGGTTATCATAGTTGCCCTCATTTTCTGTGCTCTGATTTCCCTGTATACTTAAACTTTTTATTTTTTGGTTTTCAGTGCAACTGACATTTTAGCCAATAACTTGGAACACTCTGGGTCAAGATGCTTATTTACAAATACAGTCTGTTTCATCAGTACTTTAATTTGGCAGCCATTGTGAGCTGTTAAAACCTGCAGCTTGTGCTACAGGAAGCATATTAAGGGATGACTTTATTATTTTGAGAACCCAGTTTGTCTGCTGAACAGTATTTATCATGAGTAGGTGGAGCAGTTCAGACAGAGGACAGAGGACATTACTGTATAATAATGTATTCAGGCTCCAACAGTTCATCCTGGGACACTATCAGGCTAAATTTTTGGAATCTACCCTTGGAACCCTTTCACGTTTTTAAAAAACACATCATAATTTTTAAACCTTGAAGCTGCAGTGGTTAACTTTTATCAGATTTGCTGAATCTGTCACTACATCCAGAGGGTAGTTCATGCGACAGTCTGTGAAAGAGTCATGTTCCTCTGCCACCTTGTAGGGCTTCAATGGCATTACCCACATGTGAACAAAAATAACCAATCAGAGCCAAGCATTACCTAACGCAGCTGTCAATCATGTCAATTACTGCTCGTGAACTGTGGTCAGAAATATATTTTAGTGTACTGTTTAGATGTAAAATGAAAAGTTGGTTACCCAGTGGCTGGGTTAGATACAGTAGTCAAAAACTAAGCACTGCCCACTGGCCTGTCTCAAACTTTCTCATTTTATAGCTAAACACTACAATAAAATATGTTTCTGAAAACATCTGTTGAGAGAAATAGGCAATGCAGTAAAAGAATCTTGATTCATATTTGATCAGTGCTGCCCAGTTTGACAGTCAATAGCAGTGATTGACATGACTGACAGCTGCGTTAGAGACTCCTCAACTCTGATTGGTTGTTTTCATTCAATGGTAATGGTCAAGCCATTGGAAGCAGAACCTGGTGCAGGGAAACCTGACTTTTTCCTCACAGAATAACTGTCTCATGAATATCGACAGTTTCAGCAACTATGACAAAAAAATACTTTTAGTTACCAACTCTAGCTTTAAACAATATTTTTAAACAGTGGCATATATTGGCTAAAATATATATTTCAAGAAAAAAGGAGGACAATAAGACAGTTATATTGAGACAGAAATAGACGTGTATCTCTAATCACTGTGTGGGGGCCTAGGCTACTTAATAAATAAAAATTATGAAATTAATAATAAAACTTCCTCTATTTTAAAGTTGCAATAAGCAGTCAGCCTCAAATGACCAATTGCAACACTAAGAGATTTCTAAGGGTAATACTGAATAGTGACCATGAATAGATTAAGAATATAGCAATTCAGTATGTTGTTATTTACTAACTCCAATGGGACAGAATTTACATTTAACTGAAATACTTCAAACAGCTGTTATCATAATGTCTGACTGAACCCCTGACCTTATTCTGCAACTTATACTGTGCACAGTACAAACACACTGGTAGCTGAGGTACTGAAAACAGTGGTATGTCAGTTCTCACTGAGCTTATTTTATGACCAAAATTATTTAGCAATTATTTTGGTCATAAAAAGCCATGGTCACACTTCTTTCACTAAATAGGAAGCTGTGCTATTCATGACTATTAATGATATTATAATTATTAAATCAACACTATTAAAGCCTAACTAGTTTAATGGTGAAATAAGCTCAATAATATAACTATTTTTGCCCATGAGGAAATGTCTGACTACTTCGCAGGCTGTGTGCAACACACCCACACATTTAATTTAAAATATAATGAAAGTGAGACACTTATATCAACCAGCTTTGGTCACATTCCAGGCCGGACAGTACATACCAGGTGTCCAGACTGGCACTGCAGGATAGGGGGTAGGACATAGTCGAAGCAGACAGGGCACTCGAACAGGCTGGCCAGGTCGCTGTTGGAGGCAGTGGTGCCTGACAGGGTGGGCACGCGCTGGGAGGGGGGGCACTTGGAGGTTCCTGTGGGCAGCGCGGTGGCAGTCTGGCGACTCATTTCTGGTGAAGGGAGAGAGGGAGAGGGAGGTGATAAAGTTTTCAGCACATTATATGGCACTATATCAGAGAAAAAAAAGTCTTTGTATCAGAGAAATACGGCCTCTTTCTCTAACTTTGACGTTTCTTACTTACAGCACCTCTATGAGTTATGTGCTCTGAGTCCCTGGCCGTATACCTCTGACACCCTACATCAAAGCTGAGGGACAATCGATTAATACGAGATGTGGGAAAACAGAGGATGGTAGGCAGACTGTGACTGACAACACCAGCCTGTTTGATGGGACATGAAATTTGGTCATTTCATACAAAATTAAAAAAAAAACCCAATTGGTTGGCTTTCAATAGGCCGACAGCCATTAACTAACCAGTTAATGTTCTACTTTTCTACTTAGTCTGGTGCTCCATTGCCTCAGTGAGCTTTAGTGCTGCATTTCAAAGCACTATCCATTTAGAGGTGGTGACATTTGAATGTTTTGTGATGTTAATGTCTTGACTTTTAATTTATTTTCTGTTACCTTTGCTGACAGCTGGCCAGCCGTGTTAACATGTGGATACATGCCCACTGCCCAGCTTTCAGTCTCTACTGGTTTCTTGGCTGCTCTGCACTGTGCACTGTGTTGGGTGGGAGCTAACATTAGCCAGCTAGTGGCAGCACTCATTTGGCTCATAACACCGTCCCAGTGGCAGAACATGTTGCTGCGGAAACACTGTGTTCACCAACTGGTCTCTCCCCAGTTCTCCATGGTGACTAAGTGGCTTCATTTTGACTGCAAACCCCTTTTAGCATTGTTTACTGTGTTAGCACAATTAGCCGTGCTGACAGTGGTAACAGAGCTAACAGTAAAAGCATAATTGACAATGCTAAAGAAATTTAGGGGGTTTACCCACAGGAGCAAGCTGGGGGGCAACGGGAGGATGGGCACAAAGTTTCCACAGCAACCCTGTTGGGTCAGGACGACATTACTAGTGATAATTGCTGAATGAGTGGTGCCGCTAGCTAGCTCCCACCAGACATAAGTGGTGTGCAGTGCAGTAAACTGAAAATAGCAATTAGTATAGATTGACATGTACAACTGGTCAAAAATATTCTCGGTGGTAAACCCATTAACAGATAACCGTTTTTCCAAGTTTTCATCATCAGATGAGGGATCATCGTTTTAATTTGGTCCCAAATGAACAACTCTTGTGTTGAGGAAAAAATAACTTCCTTCTTTTATGCTTTCACCAGTTGTGCTATTCAGTGTACATGATGTCATGTAGGTAGATGCTAAACTAATCTATTCTAACCTCATCACTGACAGTCATCATACTTTGTAGCTCTAGCAGTAATAGAAGCAGAGCCACGAAGTCAGTGTTTGTTGGTCATATATTGCATGTTAGCTATCAAAAATAACACACACATATTTCAGAATTAACCTCTTCAACTCCACTCCAAATGTGTTATTTTCTTTTATTGTATTAAAATATTTCTGCATACTGGGGTTCCTAAACTGTCTTGGAATTACATAAAATCGATATGACTGGAAAGCTGAGGATCATGTGAATTCAGTGAGCCCATTTTTTCAGTTGTGATGATGTTAACACCATAGTAGCCATTTCATTGTATTGAGACCATTTTTTTAACAGACATCACTGTATTAAAATTACGTATTGTGACCTCTGGGTTAATAACAGCCACATGAAACACAACAGCCACAAAATAGACAATGGGCATTCAGGGGATGTATGGTTTTCATAGGTATATTGACAATAAGTGGGTTTCTGAGCAGTTTCCAGAACAAAAGTGCTCCCCGTCCAATCACTAAAAAGAAATTCTTTTTTACAGAAATCTCAAGTTTTTGATTCCAAATCACAGCGTGGATTTTTTTTATTGTGTTCCCCACGGTCTGGGTGTCTTAATGTGGAATTGGGAGAGATTTTTGACCATGTTTATCAATTATTGGGTGGTAAACAACTCATGAATTTAGCACAATGGAAATGGTAAGCATGGAAATGGCCATCTGAGGGTTCCATTATGATCTAAGCCCTTACACACTCTAAATTCAAATAAGCGCCTAACCAAAACACAATTTTTATTACATATTTGTGACTAGAAAAACGTGACAGTGCTGAGCTGCATCTTAAATTACTCTTCAGGCTTCCAGCTTTCAGATGATGTATACCACTTCTATGTGGCATATACTGCTGACCTGCTATCTCCCCCTAAATATCCCCTGTGCCCACCTAAAAAAGACAAAAAGGATTCCATCACAGTGAAGGGTGGAGTAGAAGAAGTTAAGAATCCTATCTTTGTGATCAACTGTGGATGGTGACAGTATGATTACATTCCACATGGATTCAGTATGTGTATCAATGTAAAATCAATCATCATATAATACTATACAGCTTTGCTGCCTTACAGAGGAAAACAGAGTGGTTACCCACATGTCTCAAACTCTGTAGGCTAGTCATTCTACCACACTTCCCTATTTGTGTGACTGTTGCCTCTAGGAGTTTAGACACTGGTTGCTTCAGGCATTTGGATTTCATTTGGAGCTTCTGTACTTTTAAGGGGGGATATAGCATCTTTCTATAGCACCATATGAGGAATGAGCAAAGAACACATCAGTATCCTCTCTGTCACTGCCTGGCAGTCTCTGAGCCTACCATGTTCAACATGTCTATTATTGTCACAGCAAAAAGTCAGCGCAGCACAGACTTTCTTGGTCACATATATATAAAAAAAGAACAAGCAGACACAAAAGTGAACTCAGATGTGGTGTGTGAAGCTGCTGTTTCCTATCGTGCTGTGCAGTTGCCTTGGTAACAGGTTTGTGGTTAAGTATGGGATGGCCTGTGGAGCAGAGAAAAGGAGAGGGTAGAGAGGAGGAGAGTAATAAATGATGGGCAGGAGAATAGGTGTGTGTTGGGAAACGGGGGCAGAAGGAGAGCTATTGGAGACGAAGGAAGCAGAGGGGGAGGAGGAGATGATGAACAAAGAAGGGAGGGTGAGTGAGAGGAAGAATGAGACAGCAAACTTTAGAATCACACAGGGCAAGTATATCAGGGGTGGACAGAAAATGCTACAAACTTAAAAGGAACATGGAAAAATGAGGAGGGGTTAAGAGGACATAACAGGGGAAGAGAAAAGGAATGAAAAATGTGCAAATAAGCAAAGAGTGGACACAGCAGTGTGGGTGTGGAGATAAAAAAGGGAGGGAAGGACAGGAGGATAAAGGGTATGTTTCACATGCCAGATCTTTTCCGGGCAGTTCAGGGTTTGGGTGGGATGACTGTGCATGCCTGTGTCCCCACCTACTCTGCTACCTGGCATAGTTCATCCTTTTTATAGCCCTGCCCACAGACAGATGCAGCACAGGGAGACCCAGAAGAGAGAGGAGTAAATGTGGAGAGAGGAGAGGCTAGTATGTGTGGGAGGTGAAGACAAAAGAAGAGAATCAGGTAGTGAGACAGCACGACAATATGTACACAGACAGTGCAACAGCTGGCAAATTAACACCCACTAGCAAAATGCTGCCAAAGCTTTAGTAATGGCTGCTCAATTTGGCTAACCTAGCAGCTAATTTAGCAATTTTGAGGTGTTAAATAGAGTTCTGCAGCAGTCGGGGAATGATAATAGTTAGTCTTTCCATGTGCATCAGGATCTTTGTGGTTAACGCAGCATTTAAATCCTACTTTTCTTTTTGGAACTGTTTTTTTTATTAATGATTGGCTTTAACTATTTAAAAAATCTCTGAAAAGCACAGTCTGGTCAGTTTTCTGAAAACAGCACCATAAACCAAGGAGTCAGTTCCAGGGGTCCGAGCAAGGAAGCCTTTCCAAATTTAAGTGATTTCCTGCTGATGTTTCTGACCTCTTCCAGAGGGTTCGGATTCACCCAATAACCGTAAATACCAAATGTGATGCTTTTATCTACGTCATCACTACTTGCATAAGCTTCCCTTTTACGTCTAGCTTGGTAGCTGGCAGCACTGCCAGCAGGCTGACCGCTTTTGTAAGTGCATCTGTCAGTGTAAAGCCTCTCTGTGCGCGCACATGCACACACATGCCAACTGCAGAGGTAAAAACTGGACCTAATGAGAGACAGTATTAGCTAGCTGTGACTGTGTCTGCTGGCTTGTAAACACATCTGCTGTGGTGGAGATAATGCCTTAGCAGCTATTAATAGAACTTCTTAGCTGGTTAGCATGCTAGCAGCAACGTTAGGAGCAGTGGTACCGAATTAGCTCAGGACATTCAGCTAGGCCAAGGCCAGGGTCACAGTCAGCTAGCATTCAAGACTGAAATAACTAACACAAAATAGCTTCATACAGGCAGTCACTAACTTGGCAAATACAGTTGGAAGACAATGCTATGATCAGAATTGGTGGCAAAGAGTATTTTCCTGCAGATGGGTAGCTTTATGACACGTGTAAATCTTAAGTATTTCTAAATTCATGGTATGTTTTTTTCTTTTGGTTGTACATAGAACTCGCAGTTTTTGCTGAACATTTTCTCAGCAAGCTTATTACCTAAATTACAATATTTGTTGAAGCACTAACTTCTCTCTCTGTACCATCAACATGAACTAAATATTGAACATAGTTCATTATTACACTTAAGGAATACAAAACACACCCAGTTACATTAAAAGATATGTCAAACCTTACACATTCAACACGGCCTCCGTTTGGTTCACACTGATACCACAACTCTGATGACTACATGACCAACACCATACTTAAATGTGCTGTTTATGTCCATGTGTGGTGATGTGTTAGGAAAATCCTTCTAATAGATACTTGCTATATTTGGAAAAATGTAAAATCCTTTTGCTTACACAAGCATTAATAAGAACTCAACTAGTAATTAAGAGTGGAGACTGACTGCCAGCTGTGTGTATCTGTGTGACACACCACAGTGCCATCATGATATGTGTGACCACTCACGATGACAAGTGAGTGGATGTCAGGGAGAAACATATCAAACTGCCGATCTAGACTGGCTGGAATCATGATAATACTTAAAAGGTAACTTCAGTTTTTGTGTTTAAGTGACTAATAGGGACAACAATTTTTGAAATTGGGCCAGTATTGAGTGACAGGGCTGCAGCCAGCAGCAGCGAAACAGGCTGCAATGTAATCACTCGGGGCAATTATGTACCATCAATGTAGGCCCATTGCAACGGCTTGTTTTTGCCACTGAGATGCTCAGATTGTTATTTAAGTATCTGATAGCATAATGAAAAGGATCCCTACAGAGATCAACCTTTTTTATTGAAGAGTGAGATTCTTGTTGTTTAATCAGAAACAGCCCCGAAATTGCTATGTGTTTTACAATGACAAAATTACCCTTTATTCAAATGTAGTCTGGTGAGTTTGGTGATAGCAATATCAAGACTGTTTCCAGTTAAACAAAAAGATCTTACTTTTTAACGAAAAGGTCTATGTCTGTAGAATCCTTGCCATAACGCAATCTGACCCTTTCAGGGAAAAAGACAAGCAGTTTTAGTGGATGTACATTGATGGTGCATAATTGCCCTGAGTGATTACATTGCAGCCTGTTTCGCAGCTGCCGGCTGAGGCCTGTTGCTCAATACTGGACCAATTTCAAAAACTGTTGTTCCTATAAAGTCTATTACACACAAAACATGGGAAAAAGTGGTCCTGGTTGAAAAATAAAGAACTTACCCTTTAACTGTAACAAAAAAAGAAGATGTATCCCTTGTATTCACCTGAATGTAGCCTAGAAAAAAATGAGTGGGTTACATTTTATACTACATGAAGATTTCTGACTGCAGCTCAGTCAGCAGAATTACTGTATGGCTAAACATACTTTTCTGAAATAAAATCAACACTGGACCTCAACCAGGAGGCCAGAAAAGGGGGAACGTTTTGTAGCTGCAGAGTTGAGAAACTTATGTTGCCAAACCCAATCCCAGTATGAGTGAATTACTGTATTGTTTTAATTCAACTTAGAGGGTTTTATCTGTTTACAGGTGATATTATAATGTAAACCTATGATGTGAATTCTGACAGAAGAGCAGTGATTTTCACTGGTGCACAGCAATGCTTCAAAAAGCCAGCTCGGTTGTGATTGATGTGATTAACACATTGCTTCTGATTGGCTGAGCTATACACACTTTTGGGATCTGGGCACGCAAAACACCAACAGCAAAACTGGTGATGGTTATATGGCTTTAAGAACAATATAAACAAGTTTCCTCCACTTTAAGAAGGACATGCTGAATTATGTTCTCAGTGGTTTAAACATTTACTCTGACATAAATGCTGCCTGGCTAACAGCAGCTACAATAGCTAGTTGGCAGCACGTAGGGCTTCAACAAGTAGCAACAAGCCCAGCTAAAAGGAGCCAGTGGGGGGATAAACATAGTAGCACTTGTTCAGTTGGCACATGGGGGGCTAAGAAGTCACACTGCCACGATGAAGACAAAGTACAGGCAAGCAAGGCCCAGCGCCGTTTTGTTGATCGCAGGTGTCTTACAAAAGGCTTTCCAGACTGAATTTACAGTTTAGATGGCTTCTGTGTTTCAGTTTTTACAGCGTGGACATAGAAGAGAACCAGTGGCTCATTATGGATGATACTTCCCCAGAGAGCCTTTACAACAAAATTATACATTCAACAAAGTGGTACAACAAAGAGTGTGAGAGGAGGAGGTGAAAACATGAGCTCAGAGGGGCTGGAGAGACAGAAAGAGTGAGTCAGCTAACCAGAGAGAGGACAATGAGCACATACTGCTCTGTGCCCAGTCATTGTTTGTGTCATCCTTCCCTCCACCTCCTTGATACACAGTCCTCTGTGTTCAGAGGGAGCAACATAATGGGAAAGGCAAAAGGACTGTGCATAAACTATTTGTTAGGCACATAGTGCGCACAAAAAAGGGAGCAGTGTCTCTCTTAGGGACAGTGTACCATGGCTCCAGAGTTTTCATTAGCTTCTTAGAGGTATACTATTCTAGATTGTCAGTTCGTGTTTGTAAACAAGCTCGCCAGTGAAAGTCAAAGTAAAAGCCAACCCTAGATTTACTCGTGTGGCGTTCGCTGCTCTATATTTGCATTTTTTCTGTACTTTGTCTCTTGGATGCCTGCTGCTTGTGGTCTGGCAGCTTGTCCCTACCTTTGTATAAAGCTTCAACCTCACCTTAACGTTTTGGGGGTTCACACCCATAAGCGTCCTGAACACAGAACATATGAAAATTAGAGAATACAGGCAGAGTGAACAGTGTCTCGCCACACACTTCTCATGGGTGATAAGTAATGACTGAGACGATTACTTTGATATGAGTCCATACATTGTTCTTAGGAAAATCCCGCATAGTGTATCTCTAAATCCTCCACCCTCAATACTCCATCTTTAGAGCTGCTGCCTGCTCTCCTCTAAAAAGTAGTCCCTAAGCGGTGGAAGTGAGGCGGAGCGACCACGGGTTGTGCTAGCATGTTAGCTTATCTCATTTAGCTTGTCTTATTTGTGATCTGATGAAAAGAGAGAGAGAGCAAGTGTGGAGGGGCTGAGCAAATCATGCACTGTGCTCAGTGCTGCGATGAAATAAGATTTTACTTATTTCAAATTGAAATAGTCAATATGTAGTAGCCACAGTTGATATTGTGGTGGGCAGCTATAAATAAATCAGTGTATGATGAAGTCTAATTTAATGCACACTGACTGACAACACACACAAAAAGGCAATTTAAAGAATTTCAGGTTTTGGGTGGTCACAGAGGGATGATTCGACCCATCAACTTTCAGGGGTCAGCCCTAGCTAAAACACTATGTTCTAACAAAAACTGAACTTAAAAGCTGTAAGCAGATAGAGACATCATGTTGCACACCTGTCTGTGTTGGACAAAGAATAAACAGTGCTATATGTTGCCCAAATGGAGCAAGACTGGGAGATCCAAATCCTCAAAGAGGAAACAATCCAACTAACATCTATGACTACACACACACAATCTGTCAACAGAAGAGGCTGCTGAAACTATTGTCATCAAATACAACTGCAGATGGACAGGGAGACAGATAACGAGGGTGGAAAAATACACTAAGAGAAACAAATACCAACCTTCGTCCATAAGATTTCCAAATAAGGCCTTCGTCTTCTCTTGAAATGTGGGGACCTCTGAAAAGAGAGAAAAAACAGAGGTTAATCATGACTTTGAGAAACAAATCTAGAAATAAAACACACTGATTTGGAATTGTACCAACTAATTACACCACAACAGTAAACCTACAATAACCATCTACAGAAAGAGAGTTCAATGTGCAGTACTCTGGCCAGTGAAGGAAGATGTTAGTCTACCACATTGTGATGGCCAGGTTCTGTCATTTCTGACAGTGGGTATTACACATGCTCAAGTCAGTTCACATATGACGTGGATGTGATTTACACGATGACACAGTCTCCTGTTTATCTCTGCTGTGCCAACAGGCCAGAAGAGAACAGGAGAGGCGCTGCCTGTTCTGAGCACTTGACAGAGACTAAGCAATGCTCATTCAAGGCATTTAAGCCACTTACTGTGCTGCTAATGCAATGCACATTAGACTAGACTTCTACAATCATTGATTCCTACTGTGCTGTCTGCTGGCTCCACACTTGTTTCCCAGCACTGTTTATTCATATTTCATAAAGCAGATAAAGCTCCATCCCCAAAGTTAAAGTCTGTGGCTCCTAATCACTGTGTCGGGATGATAACATGCTGATGCATCAGTTTCCAGAAGTGACCAAACAGCTGGCTAACATCTGTTTACCAACACTGTTGATTGATAGGCTTTTTAGAACGCTCACTTTTTACCAAATAGCTTCTACAATTAATCAAAGATGATATCATCCTGACCTCAGTGTCATTTAAATAGCAACTCAAATGGCAATGTTAATTAACTATGATCTAGCACACTTGCAAGCCTGATGATGCTCTGTCACTGCCTGTTACCACTTCTACAGCCACTGAAACTGCTACCTGCTGCAGAGAAGCTGTTCTATACTGAAACAAACATAAACAGAGTCATTATTTAATGTTAAAAACCCTTACACTGCTCCAATAGCTGTGATACAGCCCCTCAAATACCTGTATTAGAATCAGGGATTACTTCTGAAGTGATAAACACAATTGTATCAAGGATGCACAGATTGTTAAATTCTGGGCTGATACATATGTTTTTGTTCATTTTGTGGTTATTCATTCCTCCTTTTGTGCCAGGGAAACAAAATCTTTGTTCTAAAGTACGCCTTTCTAGTCTTTCCAATCACTCAAACTGCCTTTACACTGCATGTCACATTCACCCATTCAGACACTGGTGGCAAAGGCGATCATATCTCTCACATTTTGATGGAACAGCCATCAGGAGCAATTTCGGGTTCAGTATCTTGCCCAAGGATACTTAAACATTCGGACTGGAGGAGCTGGGCAATGAATCTCTGATCTTCCAATCAGTGGATGACCTGCTCTTTGAAACAAGGGGACACTATATAAGTCTAGAGCCCCGCTTTAAAGCCTGCACCAAACTGATGCAACACAGCTGAACACTATCGGCCACTTCCATTGATGAACGTTATCTCATCTGCCAACAGACTGATGTCAACAAGGTGAGTATCAGCCAATACAGATATTCGACCAATAAATCATTGGATCCCTAAGATACATTACATTTCAGAATCTGGACCTAGTATTAAAAGGCATAAATAGTCCAAGGTATAAGATCCTTTTACCAGGGTTCGGACATGAAAGGTAATTAGTCCAATACAACATGTCGATGTGTGTGTAAACCATCAACAGGAGGAGACGGCCAGTTTCTTTTCTCCACTTACAAAACTGTTTGAAAACAACACAGCAGGCAAACCTAGCAGAGGTATATTTTCTAAACAGTATGTACCTGCATGTCTTCAGCAGTCAATTTGTTGTTGGAAAATGGAAAAGATAACAGGGCATTCATTTAGGAAGCGCTGTGACACTCCCTTAGATATTAAGATTCAAGCACGCAAAGTTTATATTGCACACAAATAGTCAAATCATGTGACTGAGGCAGTGATGCAAGGTGGAGCCCATGTAAATATTACACACTTTGAGCACACAGGATTTACATAATGATAAACACCCTCCTTAAAAGATTATGTTGAGACTTTTCACTTTAACAACATTAAAAGGTGTCTTTGCCATGTAGATGGCTTCTTCCAACTGTAGCAGATTTTTCACTCCTTTGTGCACCACACATGGCAAACAAACTGCTTGCCAACACATGGCAAAGATGTTGCACTGGGAACGCACTTACTCGAGCTCTTCTATTGTTTCATCTGTTATCAACACTCTCTAGGCTACAAAAACTTCCTGTGTTTCAAGCTGCACCACAAAGTCGGGTGTTTTTAAGGATCTTTGCATGAGCTATATTCACGTTAAAGCCAATATAAACAGAATGGCTTAAAGCACAGTTTTACTACATCTTTACACATCACAGCAACAACAGCTCACCATGTGTACATGAAGTCGAATAAATCCAATGTGAGAGTGAATATTCACAAGCACATGGAAAAAGAGCCATTTTGAACTAAAATATTCAAATATTTACATGTGTAATTCAAGAGTAGGGCCTAATGTATTCCAAGTTAGCATTATATAAGGCAGTGTTTCCCATTACATCCCAATAGTAAATACAAGTCTGTGACTATAAACAAACACTTTGCTTTGTAGTATTGTATATTATACTACTCTAAAATGTACTCCAACTTCTCCCTGACATACCCTGTCCGTCCTATCAACCCCTGCTAAAACCCTCCCCATGACTCAAATCATATTGATAGAACCCATGACTGTAGTTCGTATCCTTTTTCCCCTCTGTTCATGCCTTTCCAATAGAATTAGAACAGAATACAACAGTTTGAAAGAGCCTGTCAGTGAATACTTCTACATTGTACAATGTGTGTCTTGACTTTTCTGCTCAAGATGTGAACTGCTTTGGACACTGACTTTTCTGCAAATCTTAAAGGTTCACAGTTTATCAAGGCTCTCTTGCAACTATAGTATAAAAAAATATATCCACAACTTTATCTAAAGTTAACAGGCTTCTGTAGTAGAATTGGGTCCCAACCTTTGTTACTTATAAGGGTAGTGAGTGAATCATGGGCACTACAGAGTGCCATTTCATGATAAATCCATCAATGCCAAATGTTGGTACCTGATAGCACATCTGGGTGAGAACACTGGGTTTAGGCAAGAAACAGAAGTGCCGCAAAGCGCCCTGAAGCTTGGAAGCCAGTCACTTCCCAGTGAGGCAAAACTATCGCTGCGGCGCCAATCTGCCGTGACAGTGTCAGCATCTGGTCTATTTTCTTTTCTATTTCATTTTAATAATAGCATATTATCACTGTTTGATGAGAACATACAAACAGACAGACAGAGACAGGAGATTAGCTCTATGTGTGATTAGAAAAGAGCAGAGGAACAGAATTGCTTTTTAGTCTACCACGTCAGCCCTGCAGTTTGTACAAAAATTACGGAGAAAGTAAAGTACTGAAAAAAGGTACTGTTGGGTAGCAGTACTGAATTCCAGTTACCAGAACTGGTTCAAATGTGAATGGTAACCAGTCCTGTTCTGCAGAGTTAGATAAATCAAATTGATATCTTCCAGTCTGTTCTTTTAGTCCAAAATTTCCTCTTTTTGTTACTTTCTCGCCCCTGCAGCTTTACAAAGAAACACTGTCCAGAGAAAGAAAAGGAGGGTATTGATTCAAAAATGTCCATCTTTGGAAGATATGCACTTAATTTGTCTAATTTGGATATCTCAGCCTATCTTTTTTTGAATTATCTTTGGAATGTATTTTTTGCTCAAACAAGGACTGTAGATTTGGTCCCCAATCACTTACATTGAAAGTGCATTAGGAAGAAATCTCTTAATAGCCACTGTTACCAGGAGGAATGATTATATTATGTGCTCACATATGTCGTTTATGTGAGCACATCATGTGTGTAAACCCACATAAAAATCGTAACTGGAGAATCAGTTCACTAAGTGCATGCAAACACAGCCATTGCTGGGCTAATGGATCAGCACATAGTACACTATCCTTCCTGGAGGAAAAATTAGATCGATTTTAATGCATCTAAATTTCTGCTTATCAAACACTAACGAAGATCCCATTTTTCCCAAAGTGGGAGGTGGATTTATTTCAACGTGCAAAGTATTTGTAGTTCTTGCTTTCACAGCAGAGACAGATCTCCAGGGAGAGTTTATGGCAGTTCTAAACAAAGCACTAATCCAAAATGCTTTAAGGTTGACTTTAAGTTAACCTGCAGCATGCGTCAACTTGCCTCAGACAAAACACAAACACATTGGTTCACACGCTACAAAGACTCAGATACCTTCAGCACGCCAGACAGATGAAAACTGAATGCAAAAGAGGCAAATATTCAGAGATCCTGAGACTGTAAAACATAAAAGGACAAATACAGACAATAAAACAGAAAAGAAAGAGACACAAAGGGAGAGAAACAAGTGGAAAGAAGGAAGGAAGGGTAGCAAACAGCTGGGGGAAAAGATAAAGCTACAGTAAAGAGGATATGGAAGAAGACAAGAGAAAGAGACAGGAGACAGACTAACGGAGCACGAGCAGAGGGGGAGGCAGAAAACAAGCTGGGCTTCAACACAAACATGCCATTCTTTGTTCTCAACTCATAGCCCACTCTTTCTCAGTCACACACACTGTACAGTGTTCATACACAACACCACATATAATTCACAATGCACACAGGCATGCTTGCTTGAAGCGTCTTCTGTACCCAGACATAAGCTATTCAACATACATTCAGTCACAACACTCAGTATGGACACTTTTGTTAGCCAAGCTCCCTCTACACAAAGTATCAATTCATCAACCTGACACAGACAGAGCTACAGCTGGACTCAGCACAGGAATTTACGACATTTTACAACACCTTGGCCGCAGCTGCAGGGAGAGCTGCACACAACACATTACGCTGATGAGGAGAAAAAGGTGTAAATGTTTCCAGAAGTATGTGCGCTTTCATGTGCATAAACTTTTAAAAAGCTCATTCACCTTTAGTCCTGTGCACGCTCCTTGTGGCTACACATGAGAAGAGTCTGAACAAGGAATTCCAGGGCGGAGCTTGCAGTGCTACGCTAGCTGGCTTTGATTTCACTTGGACCAGAGACATAGGGGTAGAGCATTCACGCAGCCCCTCAACGCCATATTTCTCTGGCCTTTTCCATGGAAACCACACTGTTGCTGCTGCCCAAAACACACCGCAAAACAGAGGATCACATTTCTCCCTCCCGGTCTCCCACTTTGGAAGCATAAGCTCATGAGGGTCCAGGGAAAGCTGGAATGAAAGAATGAGGGCTGTGTCCAGACAAGGGCAAACTGAGATGCCTAATACCCGCAAACATAACAATCCTCAAGGGGAGGGGACAAGAGGAGGACAGCAGAGTGTCTGTCTATGTCCGTGGAAAGTACAAAATAAAATTCTTCAGTCACTGGAACAGCAAGCAAAACAGGCATCCATCAGACCTGCCTATCAGGCCAAACTGAATACCAAAAAAGAACGAACACCAAGCAGGTTGCTAGGTGCTTTTGCGGCAGCACAAAGAAACAGACAAACTCAGTGATTTGCTCTCTGTTACACTCAAGCCTTGCAAATGTAGTCAGCAGTGTGTTAGCAGTATGTCAGTGTGTGGTCAATCTGCCGCTCCCTGGCTCCTCCTAATCAGCCACTAGGAACTAAAACATGAGATAGTCACAGTAGATTGCCTCCAACTCTGGATAATTATCCTTTTACAAGTTCCACCTTTGTTTTCCCTGGTGCCAGATCTTCAGGGACTGTTTGGTGCTGTACTACTGCAGCTTTAAAAAGGTACATCCTCTTCCAAAACTAATTTTCCAAACTTGCAGGTTTGAAGCACAAAAGCACAATTCCCACGGCAAAAGACAAGCTGGTTGCCATGAAAAACAAATCTTGTATGGTGTTAAGAGTTGCTGGAAGAATAATCCTTTACTGATTGGAAAACAAAGCCCCGCTCTCTCTTGCTTTCCCGGTAGAAGAGGAGAGGTCTGTAACTCGCAAGAGAGGAAAAGGAGGGAAAGTCCCGAACAAAGTAACTCTCCCTCTGGCTTTTTCTCCTCTGTGTTCTTTTATTCAAGCCATGTTCTTTCAGTCCCCTGGAGTGTGGTAGGTGTCACTGCTGCTGGGTGTGTTTCTGTGCAAGACGGAGAAGAGCTAAGCCGGCATCCAATGTCAGTCCAAACAGAGCATGCTCACTCACACCCTTCCCCTTTCTCTCTTGGCAGCTCCCTAACCAAACACATAACCCCTTCTTCTCCACGACACATCATTTTTTCTTTTACACAGACATTGACTCAATTCTTACAAATTTTATTTGCCCTACTACACTTCATCTTTCATGTCAGTATTTCTCCATTTTCCTTTCTCTGCCCCACACTTCCTCACATGCTTGCTCTGCCTCGAGCCTGCATATTTTGCCTTCTTTCTCCTCGATGGACATTCTCTCCCTTTCTCTCACTTGTGTTTCTTTCTTTCTGCCCCCTCCCTCCGCCCGGCTCTGTGGTTGTGCAAGTCTCAGATTTCAGCCTTGTCTGGCTGGAGGCTGCACCACCAGCTGCCCTCATTGACACCATACCTCACTTTCTCACTGCCTGTTCTTTTCATTCTATCCTTCTATTGACTTCCCCTCTGCCTGTCCGCCACAATGTAATAAGTCTATGTATCACGTTCAATAACGTCACACCACTTTAGTTGAAAAAAATCTTAAAACTTGGGGAGTGTGGTGCGTGTTACCGCTGAGTTCAGGCATTTGCAAAATTAAAAATTTGCACAAAAGCCACATTTTCCAGTTCCAAACAGTGTGACGTTTTTCTTAGATCATCATCCCTCATGATGATTAAAATGCTAACTGTTACTTTCTAGAATTATTCTAGCTGTGCAAAATGTTCACCCCTCCTTTGCTCCTTTCTTTTACACACTCTCTCTCCTGCACACTCTCTGGCTCCCTCTCCCACTCACAACACACTACACAAAACTGAGCTTGCCAGGAAAAGAAGCACAAGTGAAACCAAAATATCACTGCGAGCCAGAATCTGTCTGTCAGCAGGAGATAGTGTGATACCTAGCTTATTGCAAACAGAAAGAGAGACGATGCCCCTGGTCACACACAGCACTAAAATGCACTTTGGGTGATTCCATAACAAAAAGAAAAAAAAATTGCATTACAATTGTTCCAATCAGTGGTCAACTTGCGCATTACTTTTGTAACCACAGTTTCCCCATTTTGAAACCACCACTGACAGAAGGACCATCTCTCTGAGACACCAGAATTTCCCTTAGGACTTGTTCCAGCAGCAGTGCTGAAGTGCATGACTTTTATTTTGTGCCACTGAAAGACATTTAGCCTGTCCGCCGACACAAGAAGTGCTGTAGACACATATTTGTACAAAGTTGTAGATGTCAATCAATATTGTGACTAACATTGCTTGTAAAAACAATATGTGACTGTTAACAGTGATCAACCCTATGTTTGCTGCAGAGACAAAACGGCTCAAATCCTGAGGAAATGTGAATTGGAAGGAACTGGTAGTCAAACAGCAAACTGTATCACAGCCTCTACAGAAGCATTCAGTACAGTATGTGTTTTTGGCGAGCGAGGAGAGACAGTGTGTCTGCACTCAGGACAGGCAGGTGAGCGAGATGTAGGTTAGCAGTAAACCATCAATGTAAAACTGAATGTTCCTTGTGGGCTTCAGTTTGTCACAACTGGCAGACTGGTCTCACATGTTATGTGCCATCCGATCGGCTCCTTGCCTTCCAACAATTCAGAGTGAATATCGGCCGATAATCATCGATGCCTATCGATGCAAATTATCTAAGGGTTTTTCAGTTTATATATCCTTAGTCATCCCCAACTCTGGCTACTAAAAGTAGAGACAGTGAGTTAACTGTGTATAGGGAGACTTTTATATAGCCACATTGCTAATCATTTAGCATCAGTGCAGGGGGAATACTGGAAACCAGGAAGAAGTGGAAAAAATACCCACCTTCACTACTTGCAAACAAACAAACTGTGGCATCCTGTTGGGCTTTAAAGCTGATCCCTGCTCATACACCACCATAGGGGTGCAACCACTGATTATTTTAAGATTATTTAGGGGAACTGCTCCTGGATTCTGGCTAAACTACCAGTGTGACAGCTCCTTTAGACTTGCTCAGCTTAAAGAGAAGACAGGAGGCTGCACTCCCTCTACTGTGTTCTCTTCGCCATCGTTACACTACATCTGTTCACATTATCACCAGACAATAGAAAGCATAATGCAGTCAGAAATCCAGCAGCACAAAAAATATGGGCACAAAGAGAACCTGCTGTGACACACACACACACACAGAGCTATAAAACAGCACTAGTGACACTAGCCAATGCCAGAAGTGTGTTATTAAAGAGGCAGGACAGCAGATACAACAATGAGCCATCTGGACCGAGCAGCAGTTCATCACCAGAGACCCAAACACTTCATCACCTACAGGCAGGGGTTCACAAAAGAGAAGACAGTGGGAGGGAGGGAAGAGACTGATTATTTACATTTTAAACACGCTTTGGCAATGCAAAGGTCTGAAAGTTGTCACGCCAATAAAGCATAACTGAACTGAAATTAAGGGAGCAAGAGAAACAACAAGACAAGTGAGTTAGAGGTGTATGAAGCACGCCTTGGCAGGGAGGTTGTAAAACACGCAAGAATAGAGACAAGCACAAGTCCACATTTCCATATGAAATGACCGCTGCTGCTACTTCTGTTGACAGTCTTGCTTGTACTAATCTGACGCAAGCTGCTGAAGAAGAAATATTTTCTTTGTTACCTGTTAAGTACATGCTTTGATAACATTAAGTCTCCATTTACAGTAAAAAAGATTTATCATCTGACCTGCCAAACGTGCCATTTAACAATCCTCTTGAAGGTCTAATTATCATGCTTTATGAGATTTTACTGGACTCAATCATTTGACTGTTGCTGAGTACATCCTGCAGCTAATTTTCACATGAATTTAAACATTTTGTTTCCAGTCTCAACAAGTCATACTTTCCAAACTGTAAATACAGAATGACGGGGGAGGAAAACATGAAGTCCATTTAAAATCTTGGACTAGCAGATTTCTGCACCCATAAACACCTGTGTAAACCTTATGTCTACAGGACTTTTAAAAATAAAATCAGTGCATAAGAGAAAGATGACAGTGTTTTTGGCAGGTTTAGACACAGCTGGAAGTCTCAAGCACGCCCAATTCCCCAAAAACCAGTGACCCTGACCTGACACTTGGGTCTACAATCTGTGAAGCTACTAAAGTGTCGACGTTACTGTTCCAAACGAGGCAGTTTGACAACTGTGTATTGTGTAATGCAAGTGTGAACAAGCCAATGGAAGCTTTACATGTAACATTTAGGAGCCAATTCACTTTTAATGAGAGGTACTTCCATCTGGCTCACAGCTAGATAAGGTAACAGAGGAAACCACTCACAAACAAACGGATAGCAGTGCACCAGGAAGTGGATTTGTTGAGGCTCAGGTGCAGTTGTGATTCATTTTTTGTTTAGGTCATGCTAGTACTCTCATGTTAAGCGAAGACAGAAACAGGTCCTTTGAGTCAGGTAAAGGTTTTACATTCATGAGGAGCTCTAGTCAGAGCAAAGAATCGACTATAGGTTAGTCCTTGGTTGTCAATAGGGCTCTTCTGAACAGTCCTAAGGGGTTTACCACGTAGTGAGATTAGTGGGTTAGACTATGTATGTAAATCTGAGCAAAAAATTGTTTTATTTTATCTACAAAGTTGTTGTTCCTCTTACTGAACTACTGGATGTGTCTGTCATGTTCTCTGGTCCACACTGGCTTTAAAATAAGCCTTCTATAAAACCACAGGTGGCATTGTACATTAATAGATCACTATATTATGGATCAGGATGATGTTGACTTGCATATGAAATGCAGTATAATCCCTTCAAACCATACCATAATGTTACCACTTTGAATAAGTTTTACACTGTATATTACAGCTGATAGAACACCAATCAGTTAGTCTATTTGGTATTAATCATAGGTAATATTGAATCCGTAATATAAATTTCTCTTTGATTTTCCTGAAATACTAAAACAATTTCCTCATATCTTTCATAAACAGTGTCAGTATAAATAAATGCAGTTCTTACGCATAACATCAAATCTGCTGGTTAAAGTTTAAAGTGTAGGAGCTGTAAAATGTGCAAGTTAGCTGTTACGTTAGAAATAAATGCAGTGGTAAAATAAATGTACTGACTTGTGAACTCACATAGTTATTATTTTCTGCTACTATTCTACTCTTGCCTTAATTGAAGCAACAGTGTTGATTTTTACTGAAGTACCTTTTTATATTCCTCAAAGGTGGAAGTAGTCAGAATGGACTAATCAACTTTAAGAGTCAAATGATGCACTAAACACACTATCTGACTCATGTTATGGGAACGCACCCAAAGCCTGAAGGAGAAAGCCTGGGTTAACAGAGCACATTGATAACCACCTTCATGGTACCCCTTATTTCTGACTGAGGCTTTAGGGTTGTTGAGCCAGCTAAGGCACAGAATGGCTCTGTTGAACTTACTTCGTGGTACAACCCTCTGCTTGCTGACTGGAGACTTTGTGAACCAGGTGAATGACAATTTCCTCACTAACAGTACTCCGCTGTCTCTAAGCAAGGTTGTACTTTTGCACATAGTCAGAGACCATCACTACATGTATTCCATCCAAGGACATTTTGTTAGCAGAGTGCTGGAATATCACTTTGAGTGTGTGTAGCAGCCAGCTCTGGCCCCAAATTTAATCCCTGAATGAAACAAAGACAACGGCAACACATGAGCATTTCCTTTGGGGGGTAATGTTGTAACTTCTTTTGCTTTGGCAGTCACATCTTTTCCACAGCAGGAAAAACAACTGAGTAACAGTGCTGCTTAGCAGCTTGTTACCATGGAGAAGCCACACAGTGCTGGGATATAAGGGACAAGGCAAAACTGAACTCCACACACACTCATACACAAAACCTCTCACCTTGTGTTTTAATGAGCAGATATCACACACACACACACACACACACACACACACACACACACACAAATAAAACAAGCAGGGACTCCCTTTGGCATTAGTAACAGATCTAGAATTACCTCACTGTTACAGAGCCAATGACTCACTCTCTCTCTGTCTCTCTTGCGCTCTCTCACACAGACACAGACACACACAATCAGGCAGGCAGGAACAGCTGTCATTCTTGTGAGCAAGAGCTGAGCTCTATTCGCCGGACATGTGCTGCTGATGTTGTGCCAGAACAGTAAACTAAAATTATGTATGCCTCTGCCAACCACTCAAGTTGCAGTTACAGTTTATATCCATGTCTGTCCAGGCATATATATATATATCCATGACAGTAGACAATGCTTCAAATATAGATGTTGCTGGAAGAAGACTTCATATTCTGGAATTTGGATACTTCTCAGATGTCTTCAACCAGGCAGCACATAAGATGTATACAATCAGCACAGTTTAAAGATGGACATCCAAGATTAGTGTCACCAATTCAGTATCTGACCAGCTGTCTCCCTTTCTGTTCTTGAGACATGACACTGAGTAGACACAGTGAAGTTGACCTTTGATCTTTTGGATATAAAATGCCATCATAATTAGCGGAAGAATTTTTGACTTATGGCCATTAGCATGTTTTGTGAGGTCACAGTGACATTGACCTTTGACAACCAGACTCTAATTAGTTCATCGGTGAGTCCAAGTAGACATTTGTGCCAAATTTGAAAAAATACCCTCAAGGTGTTCTTGACATATCGCATTCACAAAAATGAGACAGACAAGTTCATATTG